GTGTGTGTGTGTGTGTGTGTGTGTGTGTGTGTGTGTGTGTGTGTTGGGAAGGCCTGAATCCAGTATTACCTAATTAACAAAGTTGCTTGAATCTGTTGAACAAGAAGATTCCCAGGGTTTTCATTCACCTTCCTATCTTCTCCCTCCCTCCTTCCCTCCAAAAAAAAAAAAGTAGAAAAAAGGCTGGGTGTGATGGCACATGCCTATAATCACACCATTTGGGACGCTGAGCCAGGAGGATCACTGTTGAGTTTGAGGCCAGTCTGTACTACATAATGAGTTCAAGGCCAGCTTGAACTAATGTCTCAAAGAAAAAACTCTCAAAATAGAAGAGTTCAATAATAATAGTATGGAGTTAACAAAATATCTAAAGGTTAAAAAAGATTAATAAATTACTAGTAAAAATGAAATGGGTAAAGAATAGGATAATAAATGAAATAAAGTTTGAAAAATAAAGAAACGATGAGGAGGAGAGAAAAGTGAGGGAAAACATCCTACTAAGTAGTAAAACAAAATACAGTTCAATAGACAAATCATAAAAAACAAGAAAAAATGAAAGCAAAGTAAAGAAAAAAGCCAAAGAAATAAAAGAAAAAAACAACACCCCAAAATACTAATGGAGAAAGAAAGGAAATGTGTCAAAAACTTTTTTCTGTCTTTTTGAATGAGTGGTTTCTTTCCAGGGCCTGCAGTACAATATTTGTTTCCATCAGATATGTTGAAGGAATGGTGCATTTGTGTTTTCATGTTTCCAAACAGTCATGTTTCCTTTTTCATGTTTCCTATGGCTGCAGTCACCTGGGTAGCTCCAGTTTCTGTGTTCCTATGTCCCCCAAATTGTGGCTTAATCTGCCTAGCTCTATGGCCCATGAGTTTGTGATAGGCTTCCCCTGTTCTATCCATTCACTGCAGACTGTTTCCACCATCCAAGCGAAGCTATATCCACGCTCATATCAGTAAATGGGGAAAGCAAATAGACTGCTGAGTTGTGTGCTGGATTTAGGCAGCAGAGTGGATGTTCGAGCAGACCACTGAAATTAAAGTCAGCACTTTTAGACAGGCCCTCTGAAAGCCACACATTGTTAGCCTGGCTGCTCACCGTAGAGGATGGGGTCCCTGTGTTCTAGCTTAAACTTTTCAGGGGAATCTATGTTTAGCCCATGCCTTCTCCATGACTGTCCCTTGTGGCCATCTCCCACCTGATCATTTTGGTAGGGTAACATGAGAACTCTGAAATATAGATGTTATGCAGCTCAGTCCTAAATAATTAACCCCTTCCCCAGATGGCTCAGTTAACACTGCTCTAAATTATAACAGAGAGTGCACTGGATTTCTTCTCTAACTCTAATCTGCCTTGCAGAAGGAGTTCCTTTCAGAATAAAATCCCATGCTGGTTCTTTTAGATTTGTTTTGTTTTTGTTTTTTAGTTTACAATGCCTGTGGGCTTTTCTGTGGCCGGGTGCTGCTAGCCTAGTCCATTCTTCTCTCTGGGTCTGCTGACCCTCTCCAGGTTAACCTTGCATCAGGGGAGAGAGGATTCCCTCCTCCAGGAGCCCAGGTAAATTTTACACACATTTCTCTGCATTGTGCTCTATTTTTCTAGCTTCTCTGCAGATTCTAGTTTTCTTATCAGCTCCCTCCTGATTATCAGAGATTTACTTTTTTCTCTTGTTCTCCAGGTATCTGGATTCTAGGTCCCAGAGGAGCTGTATTTTACTAGTGAGCTCTACTCCACCATTTTAAATCTTTTCCACTCATGTGTGTGTGTGTGTGTGTGTGTGTGTAACAATTTACACCTATCAACTTTTCTCTGAGTAGTGCTTTTGTGGCAACCCATAGATGTTGTGAATTTGTTTTAATTTGTCTAAAAGTATTTTCTAATTTCATCTGTAGCCCATGGACTGCTTAAGGCTATCTTGTTTAATTTCCATATATTTGTGAATTTTCTAGTTTTCATTCTGTTATTGATTTCTATTTTCATCCCATGTTTTCAGAGGAGTTTATTTGTATGATTTGTATGATGACACTCTTCTAAATATGACTTGTTTTGCAGTTCTTTTATGTTTTATCTTGAAGAATATTTCATGTATACTGAAAATAATATATATCCTGCTCTCATTGTGTGAAATATTCTATGTAAATCTTTAGGTTTAAATGGATTATCATGTTATTCAAGTCTTCTATTATCTATAGACCTTCTGCTATACTACACTTGATCTTAGCCAAAAGGCCGAGAAGCGATTGACCTTCTGCTATATTGTTCGATCCATTTCTTAGAGTTAGGTACTGATATCTGTAGTCATTATTGTAGAAATATTTCTCCTCTAATCCTGTTAGTTTTGATTCATATATTTTGGAGTTCTGTTTTTAGCTACATTTGTAATTGCTCTATTGAAATTTTTGATGGATTGAACCTTTAAATAATATATAATAGCCTTTGTTTTAATAATTTTTTGCAATTATTTTATTAGTGTACATTTATAATAATAAAAAGATTCATTGTGGGGAATTGGTACATATACATATTATATTGTACCTTATTCACTTTCCCATTGCTGGGACAAAATACCTGATACAAACAACTTCATTTAGGAGGTTTATTTTGCTTCATGATTTCAGCCCACGGTCATCTGGCTCCAAGGCAGAAACAAGATGGTTGAAGTGCATGGTAGAGGAATAGGTGCACAATCCATGGCAAATGGGAAGCAGAGAAAAGAGAAGAGCTGGGGATGAGAATACATCCTTTCACATCATATCACCAGTGACCCACTTCCAGCCAAGCCTCACCTCCTAACAGAACATTCATCTATAGAACTTATTACTAGATTAACACACTGATGTCCATTCCATTGCCATGATTCAATCACCTTTCCAACACAAGAGTCATTTGGTACCATTTTAAATCTAAACCACAGTGCCTTGTAATTTTTTTTACTTAAATTCAATTTGGCATAACAGTATATACCTCAGGTCTGTAATTACTACTTATGAAATATCTTTTCTTATACTTACACTTTTATCCTGTGTCATTGAGTATAAAATTCATGTCTTAATACATGATATATATTCAGTTCATGTTTTTAATCCATTCTCCCAATTTTGCCTTTTTATTGAAGAGTTTAACCCAGTTATGTTTAATTACTGATGAGAAAAGTTTTTCTTTTACCATTTTGCTACTGTTTTATACATGTCTTGTTATGGGCTGAATTATGCTCCCATACAATTCTATTTTCACTTTTTTTTTTTTTTTTTTTTTTTTTTTGGTACTGGGGGTCGAACTCCAGTCCTTGTGCTTGCAAAGCAGGCACCGGAACCACTGAGCTAAATTCCAAGTCCCTATTTTCACATTCTAATCCCTAATATCGTAGAATATGACTATGGTTGGAATAAGGTCTTTCAGGTGGTAATTAATGCAAAGCCATCAGGACAAGCCTTAATTCAATATTGCTGACAATTTTATGAGAAGAGTAGACTAAGAAATATGTTAGATTAATTGTGTATGTGCACGAAGTAAAGACCATGTAAGAACACAGTGGGAAAGGAGTGTGAGCCAGTAAGTGAGGTGTTAAGAGAAGCCAAACCTCCAACAAATTCATTCTGGATTTCTAGCCTCTAGAATTACAAGAAAATAAAATTTTATTGTATCACTACTCAGAATGTAATAATTTGTTATGGAAGCCCTAGCAAATAGTACCTTCTTTTGCAATTGATGTTTTGCAAATGAACCCTTTAGTTCCCCCTTTTTTCTATATATTTTTCATTTGTCCCCTCAGTGTTATCTTGGGGATTATGGTGAACTTCTTAAATTCATAACATTCAACTTTGAACTAATACCAACTTTATTTCAATGTTATTTTTAAAATGTGGTCCCTTATATCATTGTCCTTCCTTTATGTTATTATTGTAACCACTTACATCTTTATACATCATGCATCCATTAACATAGCTTTATAATTATTATCCTTCAAATCCCTCAGGAAAAAAGGGATTACAAGATAAATATGGAATATTATTGGTCTTTATATTTACATATTGTATTAAGTACATCTGCTAATAGGAAAAAGTACCTCACACTGTCTTAAACAACAGAAATTCACTCATTAATTAAAGTATTTATTCATTTTTAAGTCATTCTCTTACTATATATTTCCAGGCTGTCCTTGAACTTACCATATACCTCTGGCTGACCTCAAACTCATGATCCTCTTGCCACTGGCGTGACACCATATCCACCACAAAAATTTATTTTATCATGGTTCTAAAGTATACAAGTCCTACATCAGATTGTTGGCAGGTTTGCTTTCTTCTGCAGCCCCTCTCTTGATAACCATTTCTTGTAGATAACAATCTTCTCCTTGTATCTTGTGTGTGTGTGTGTGTGTGTGTGTGTGTGTGTGTGTGTTTCTGTGTGTTTCTGATACTAGGGTGAATACATCTTGCACATACTAGGCAAGTGCTTCACTACTGAGCCACATTCCCAGCCCACTCTGTCTCTATGTCCTAATCTCTTGTAGATATCATATTGAATTAATTCACCCCTTTAAATACTATCTCCAAACACACTCACATTATGAGGTACTGAGAATTAGGACTCAGTACATAAATTTTGTGGACACATTTCAGCCCAAAAAACCTGCATAATTGCCTTTACTATTATTATTTATTTCTTCATATGTCCTTGAATTACTGTCTAGTATCCTTTCATTTCAGTCTGGAGGGCACTCCTTAGCATATCTTTTTCTTAGAAAAATAAATGTCATTGTGTATATTTAAAGTTTAATACATGTTGTGTGTTGAAATGGTTACTAGAGTGAAACAAATTAATCTACATCATATTACATATGCCTTACATTTTTAGCAACATGATTAACTAAAATCTACATAGTTAATAAAAATACATAATATAATACATTTTCATCTTTGTCTGTCATATTTCTATAAAAGAGTAACACAAATTAGATAACTTTTATAATAAAAAATGTACTTATCACAATCTGGAGGCTGAGAAATCTAATACTACTACTAAGGACTACTTAAAGTCAGAAACCCACTGCTGAGACAATTAACCCACTCCCATAATAACATCATTAACCATTTATGAAAACAGAGTATTAGTGACTTGATCACCTCTTAAAGGTCCCTCGACACTGTTGCATTGGGAATTAAGTTTACAATACATGATCTTTGAGATGATACTTTCAAACCATAGAAAACTTCATTGGCTATAACCAAAACTGTGGATTAGATCTCTAGATTGTTTACCCTACATACCATCTATTTTGTATTCTTTGACCTATGTTCCTCATTTTGTGGTAACCAATTTCCTTTTCTATCTCTGCATATTTGATATTTATTGTTTAATTATTCTTGATTCCACATATAAATGAGATTATACTATATTTCCTTTCTGTGTCTGGCTTATATCACGTAGCATAATGTCTTCCAGCTCCATCCATGTTGTTGCATATCACAGGATCTCCTTTGTAAAGCATGAATAATATTTCATTGTATGTAAAGTCATTTCTTGTCATACAAAGGAGATTGGCTCTAGGCTGAATCCCCAGCCCCTCCTTGAATATCAAAGTCTTAAATGCTCAAGTCCCTTATATTAAATGGTATGGAGTTCTGGGAGGATGGTAGAATGGTAAACAGCAGCAAATCAGCCAGTTTGAGATTTGGAATTCAGACACTGGAATATAACATCTTGGAGAAGAAAGGAAGGAAGGTGGTGGATCCTCAGAACCCAGGAAGGGACCTGCAGGGAGAATTGGAGCCCACAGGGAAAATAATGACACAGACCTCAATGCAGAAAAAAAGGCTGCAAATTTTCTCCCCAATTCTTTGCTCATGGCATGAGCCAAAAGGCTCAGAACTACAGAGACACAATGTGCAGGGTGATTCCAGAGATCTCCACAGAGAAACACACCAGTGGAACACAGCAGTGGATGCTGTGAACTACAACAGCTGGTGAGTGACTCCAATTCAAGCATCCACTGGGTAGAATTCTTTAGGGAGGAACCAATAGAACTAGATACTCAAAGCAATTGTGTGTTGGCTTCCTCTTAGTGCATCCAGTGACTGTGTGAGACACAACCCCAGGAGACATGCAGGATCAGGAAGCTCAAATGAGGCCAAAAGGCGGAACCAAAAGTATTTGTAGGCTGTACAAGCCCCAACCCCAAAACCAAAAGCAACAGAATTGGGACCCTATCCTAGTCCCATTGAAGGCTTGCTAGGGTTATCCAGCACCCTGCCATAAACCTACTGGAGGCTTGCTGGGATTACCCAGCATGAATCAGGCTTTGTCTACTTATTTTTCTGCCAGTGAGAGTGCAGGCACACCCTGAATTGGATACTACAACAGCACTGTAGATTACAGAAAATAATCAAAGGCTTGAAATCACAGAGAAATCTATTTTTCTCTCTTTGCTTTCCTCTTTTTTTTTCTCCTTTTTTTGGATTTTTTTATGAATGCAAACATTGTTATTAGTTATTTTATTTTGCTTAGTTCTTGTTTTTGCTTTCTCTTTTTTCCCTCTTGAATTCTTCACTAGTTTCACAAAGCTTGAGTGTTCTTCCTTTGTATGTTAGCCTTGATTCTTCTTTCTCTTCTTTTATTTCCCTATTTTTCCTTTTATCTCTTTTAAATTTTCTCCCCTGAGAGTAAAATCACTCTATTGAGAGGATATTTACTATATAATTTTCTGATTTGTTTTACACTTTGTGGTATAACTATAAATCATGTGCATATGGTTTGAGGTGGCAAATTAACAGATGCCACAGTTTGTCATAGCTTACACCATGCTAATGTTATTGCTGATTGTACTACTTGAGCCAAAGTGACCTAGCTGTGATCAGTAGTTCTTCCTTGTATGCCAATATGGAGATTGATGGTGATAAACAATACCACACTCCAGTACTGAAGTACTAGATACTAGGCCAAATAGGCAACAACTACTCATCCCTAATAAATTGAAGAGGCAAGATCTTTGGACAGACACAAAAACCAAAAGCCATCTACACCTAGTAGACAAATACACTGGAAGATATCTTAATGATATGTTGATACTGGTAATAATGCCACCTATCATAAGCAACTTTCAAGCAACAACAGATGAAAAATTTTAAAAATAGAAAATGATAAGTCATGGAAGTAAGATGCAACCCCAGACCTCAAGCTTACCCAAGGCAAATACAGGGGTCATTGAAGTGGAAGAAATCAAAAGCAACAAAGCTGAACTT